AAGTGTTTAGTCTAGAACTTATATTCTTAACCACTGTGGGCTACCAATATCAATATTAAGACTGTGAAGGTAGAAAGTTGGAGAAATAGAGCTTGGAAGGGAAGGACTCCTTGTAGTTGGTTATCCTAGGCATTTGGAGTAGAGATAGTTTGAAAAGGACAAGGTTCATACCTAATTGGCAATCGTACTCCTAATTGTCTCCTCCATCTTTAAACTGCAGACAGTTCAGTTTCCCTAAAGATTTTTTTTTTTTCTTTTGAGATGGAGTTTCACTCTTGTTGCCCAGGCTGGAGTGCAATGGTGCAATCTTGGCTCACCACAACCTCTGCCTCCTAGGTTCAAATGATTCTCCTGCCTCAGCCTCCCGAGTAGCTGGGTTTACAGGCATGCGCCACCATGCCCAGCTAATTTTGTATTTTTAGTAGAGAAGGAGTTTATCCATGTTGATCAGGCTGACCTTGAACTCCTGACCTCACGTGATCCACCCGCCTTGGCCTCCCAAAATGCTGGGATTGCAGGCTTTGTGCCACTGCACCTGGCCCCCTAAAGATTTTTAAACAGATGTTTAGATGCCCTTTGGGAGAGTACAGTCTCCAGGGGGAAGGAGAAAAGTTGGCCTAAGGGGTGGATGTTGGGTATTCGAAAAAAGGCATTTAAGTACTAGAAGTTACATAATTAGTTTATGGTTGCATAGCTGCTTTGAGGTTAAACCTCAGAATCAGAAGAAATATTAAAATCAATCTTCCTGATATTCTTGCCATGAGGAATAAGTCATGTGCTCTGAATGGCACAAAGTAACCACAACCACCAAATCAAATGGATTTAGAAAACACCTGTAGGTATAATGACGATATCTCAGAAGTAGACTATGAGTACAGTGGTAAATATTTCAGGTTGGAAACGCCAAGATCCAAATTTGGCTGGCAACAGGTTACTTTAGGGTTCTTAGTAAACAGATGTCTCAGTTGTGCATTCTGGGCTTTCAACCTAGCAACTACTGGCACGGGACATTTACCACCTAGGAAGGTGGGGAGGGAGGGGAAAAAAGCTGGGCTTTAAGTGTTGATATTATGTTGACTGGGTAAGGATGTCCTACAACAAACTACTTTATGAGGGGATAGCCAGGCCACAAAAAGGATCTGATTGTTGAACTTAAGCAACTCTGGCAAGACGAGCTCTCAGCAAAATTTTCAAGTTGATGAGGTTTAATAGTCCCAGGGACAATAAATAGTAGGGGGATCACACAGTGAGTTCAGTATTAGGGGACTGCTCAAATTTGAGCCTTTGGTGGTTTGTCCTGGCCTCAGACAACCATCTTGAGGCTTGACTTATACACTTCAAATTCTTTGCCTAGTGTGTTACTAGAATTAAACACATCTGGAGCAGTGGGGTATGGTGATATGCTTTGGCTGTGTCTGTACTCAAATCTCATCTTGAATTTGTAGTTCCCATAATCCCCATGTGTCATGGGAGGGACCAGGTGGAGATAATTGAATCATGGGGGTGGCTTCCCCCATCCTGTTCTCACGATAGTGAGTGAGTTCTCACGAGATCTGATGGTTTTATAAGGGGCTTCTCCTTTTGCTGGGCACTCATTCTCTCTCCTGCCACCCTGTGAAGAGGTGTCTTCCTCCATGATTGTAAGTTTCCTGAAGCATCCCCAGCCATGCAGAACTGTGAGTCAATTAAGCCTCTTTTCTTTATTAATTACCCAGTCTTGGGTAGTTCTGCATAGCAGCATGAGAACAGACTACTACATATGGCAATACTGTCTGTTCATTAGGGAGTTAGTGAGCAGGAGAGAAGCAATGACAGCAGTAAGCCTAGCAGCCAGCAGCTAGGGAGAAAGAGTGCCGATAATGGAACCAAGAACCTGGAAGACTTCTGAGAGTTTATATAAGCATCCAGACTGAGGTAGAATAGCCAACAAAGTAACTTTGCAAAAGGCGTATTAGTGGAGGCGGGATGATCATCTATGTAGTGTGATGGGAAAGGTAATATAAAAGCTCTTCTGACCAAAATATAGTTCCTCTTCCCACCTACTAAAATTAGTGTTTGGCCTCTTAGCAGCCATACATTTTCCATAAGTTAAAGTATTATTTTGTGGTTGATAGTTAGCCAATTAGTGAAGATTTCTTTCTATCTGATTAGTTCATTAGCACCAGTTTTCACCAAGCAGAGCTGGAGGTTCTAAAGAAATATAATCGAGTATGAGAAAGGTTTGGGAACCTTTAGGAATTGTCTATGTTGTATGACCACTCCTTATAGTGCTGCCCAACAAGAATGTAATGAATAAATCTGCAAGCCTCTGAATTCTGGCTGCTCACATGGTAGTGAATATTATTCACATAAGCAAATTTGGTGAAGATCACAGAACTTGGGGGAACCCCACATTTTAACCTAGAGATGACTTATCCTAAAGCCGTTTGCCTTTTCATCTATACTACATTGTCTCCAGAGGGATGTTGGTGACCTGAAGACAACATTTTCTTATGCCACAATTTAAAAAATAAAAATAAAAGTCCTCTCTTGGATACAAAGAACCCTTTATAAGGCTAGATGGCAGCTTGGAAAGCACATAGGACTGTCCTGATCTATCCCAAAGAACATATACAGATTCCAAGCTGTTCTTCACCAGGAGTTATTTTCTAATTCCTATACACTCTTTAGTTTTTACTTCCTGGGGGAAAAAAGCACAACAATGAGCAGAGAAAATGAAAATTCTTAGAATTAATTGCATATGGACTTTCCCCAAAATGACATTAGAAAATGACACCTTTTGTCTTTGAATGAGTGTGTGGGCTTATTTCCCCACCCCCACCACTGTTGTGTGAAAGCGCAACAGCTCAGTTTTCATTTTCCTTTCCTCTCAAAATGCCCAGAGGGACCATATTTTTGTTTAATGACCTTCAGAACGATTCTTTAGAAATCTGAGGCTATCAGAGTTGGAAGCAATGCGAAAATAATTGAGGATTATTATTGTATGACGGCAGTGGCAGCTGGGCTGTTTCTTTTTCTCTGTGTTCAGACTTTCTTCTTCATTTTCCCAGAAACCTTATATCCCAAGGTTTAACTCAGAAGCAAATCTCATATAGGTGATAAACCTTGCCAGACATGGTATGTAATATAATTTCAGACAGACCCTTAACTATTCTTCAGGAAGACCCTAGGGAGTAAAGCAGCCTTATATCTGCATGCCCTCAATAGTATTAGTTTTATTTACTCTCTGACAATGTGTGTGGGTAGTTGTATAGAATATAAAGCAAGCTTATCTCTTAAATATTATACCTGTGAACTTAAGCACCACTTTGTGTGTTTTGTTGTCAAAACTCCTGCTAACATGAAAGAAAAAAATGTTACGGAAAAAAATGGGTACTTGCTGTCTCAGATCACTCACACACACATGTACACACACATACTTATGCACACAAATACACAAGCACTCACAGCTGGGGATTGAGAGTCAGCACAGATTCTAACTTTACGTGAATGTTTAAAATATGTGTATGGACGGCAGGGGTGAGGAGTGGTAGATGTAGATGTTGTATACACCATAGTGGGAAAGTAAAAAGTGCTCTCAACTATTGTTCACATCATCTACCTCAAAATCAATTTATTTATTGCCTTAACTGACTGACAGAATTTACATGAAAAATACTTTTATTTTTTTTTTGAGACAGAGTCTCATTCTTGTCACCCAGAATACAGTGCAATGGCATGATCTCAGCTCCCTGCAAACTCTGCCTCCTGGATTCAAGAGACTCTTCTGCCTCAGCCTCTCGAGTAGCTGGGATTACAGGCACGTGCCACCATGCCCAGCTAATTTTTGTATTTTTACTAGAGACAGGGTTTTACCATGTTGGCCAGGCTGGTCTCATACTCCTGACCTCAAGTGATCCGCCTGCCTCAGCCTCCCAAAGTGCTGGGATTAAAGGTGTGAACCACCATGCCTGGCAATAAAATATTTATTACCTTGAATATTCAACACTCCCTAACAGCTATCCCCTACACCTCGACTGATGTTTGTACAGCATTTGGCTACCACTTTGGTAGAACATTTGAGGTGAATGATAGCCAGAATGGGGCAATATCTAATAAGTAGTCTGAAAAAATTCCTGAAAGTCAAAGATAATTGCCTGAATATTCTTACATACTTGGCTATTGTTATATCCTTGTCACTTTCTGGAAAAGTATTAAACATTCCTTTCTAGGGAAGTCCAATCTTGGTCGCAAGATTCCCTCACATTCCTATCAGGAGAGTAAGATAATTGGCTTCAAAACCCAAATCTTGTTGTGTGGTTGTGTATCACTGAACTCAGAAAGTAAGTGGATGATATCTCCAGGCTGTTACTATAACAAAGCGTGTCCTCACTTTACCTAGCTATGTTTCTAGAGAAGTCCTTAATTTTTTATATTCTTTCTCTCTCTACCCCTACATGGATTTCTTGATTACAAGAAGGGAGATTCTGGAGTACTAGTATTAGTTTTCATAATAAGGAGTAATTAATGAAACAATTGTAAACTTCATTGCCAATATAAAATCCTATTATGAATGTTTAATAATGCCTAAGACTCCCCTAAAGTATACTGAGTGGCTAAGTGAACCATATCCTCTTAGGACTCTTAGGAAATATCCCTGTCAAATAGAAAGAACCAGGACATTATAATAATACTTAGTGACTGTTAAGGTTCTGCTATACCTCTCTTGTATTTGGGGAGCTTCTATGATATTCTATTTATTTTTTTCAGAGTGTTTCTAAAGACTTCTTGCTCCTGGGGTCAGGCCTTTAAAGTGGTTTATAGTGCAATAGTTGTGATATTAGAATTGGATACAATAGGACACATTTGTGATTTTTCTTGGTCATTGACTTGACTCCTTAGTTACATATTTTGAAAACGAAAGAGAAGAATACAAAAAAGTAAAAGTACTAACTTGCCAGTACTGAGATGTAGTCCATGAACTTTTATTTTTTGCTTACTTGCAAATATTTTATCTGCAGGAATGCAAGCCAAAAATGTGGAGAAGCATAATAATACAGAAAGGAAATGCTCTTCTGATCCAAGAAGTTCAAGAGGAAGATGGAGGAAATTACACGTGTGAACTTAAATATGAAGGAAAACTTGTAAGACGAACAACTGAATTGAAAGTTACAGGTAGGAATTGGTTCTACAAAATTATGGCAAATGAGATTTTAAGTATAATTTGGTTTGGGAAGCAAGAGTTTTTTTCAGAGTCAACTTTCTGTGAATTTAGAATTGCCTGCAAATCAAACAGTTGAGAAACTTGCTATTAATGAGTTGTACTGAGTAAAAGCAACATATGGAATATGAAAACAGAATTTAGAGAACAAGGGCCTAATTGCTGTGTATCTCTTCTCTGTCTTTATGAAAGGTTCTGAACTCTTCAAGGTATCATTATTACTAAACATCTCAGAAAGTATATAGTGGAACCACTCTAGAATGTTGACTTAACCCATTTGTGGAATCTCCTTGTAGGTGAAGGCTGATTTTGGAAAGAGAGTCTGTTAGATTTTTGGAATGAAATCTTCTTAGATTGCATCCAAATTATCATTTATGCAAAATTCTCCATAAGTGAGTGATGTTATTGTGAGCTTCTAGTGATTCTTAAAGCAACTCCAAATGAAGAACATGCATATGTGTGTTTTAAATCTGAAGTACAAACAAAATGTAAACTAGTGGAAGAATAAACTTAGAATATTCTTACCTGTTAGAGAATTTTAGGAAGTAATTTTCAGAGACATAAGACAGAATCTAATACCAAAAAGATATCCCTTACAACAAATGTGATGGAACCTAAGAAACTGTATGACAAAAAAATCTACTTACTATTGCTCACGAACAAATCTTGACTAATTTTCCTATTATTATGTGTGTCATGTGTATTATAATCTCACATGTGGAACCTAAAAAAAAGTTGAATGTGTTGCAAAAGAGAGTAGAAAAGTGGATAGGGACAGAGAATGGGGAATAAGGAGTGTAGGTCAAAGGGTACATACAAAGTTGCAGTAATATAGGATGAATAAGTCTAGTGATTTAATGTACGGCATGTAGTTAATAATATTGTATGCTGAGGCTGGCACAGTGGCTCATGCCTGTAATCAATCCCAGCACTTTGGGAGGCCAAGGCAGGTGGATCATCTGAGGTCAGGAGTTTGAGACCAGCCTGGCCAACATGGGGAAACCCTGTCCTCTACTAAAAATACAAAAATTGGATGGGCGTGGTGGCGTGTACCTATAATCCCACCTACTAGGGAGACTGAGACAGGAGAATTGCTTGACACAGGAGGCAGAGTTTGCAGTGAGCTGAGATCATGCCACATCACTCCAGCCTGGGCAACAGAGCAAGACTCTGTCTCAAAAATAAAAAAAATCATATTGCATGTTGAAAATTTGCTAAGAGAGTAGATTTCAGGTGCTCTTAACACAAAAATAAACATATGAGATTGATATGCTGATTTGTTTGACTGTAGTAATCAGTTTCCTATGTATATGTATAACAAAAACATCTCGTTGTATACCTTAAATATAAACAATTAAGTATGTGTGTGTATGTTTGTATGTATATGCATACATATTTCTATTGTGGATAATATCCAAGCCATGATAAACTTTGAAATTACCTAGACAATTGCAATATTGATCGCATTAATTGACTTATGATTAATGCACTTGAGCATTACCTGTTTAACCATCTAATGCCAACATCAGCCAGTTGGTTAATTTATAACATACTCTTGCTAATGCTAGCAATACATTTTTTCTTCTATTTTATTTTTGTTTAAAAAGATTCAAAAAGGTCTGGCTGACCTTTTTGAGATGGTGTTAAAATCAGTCAACTAACTAATACTTGCTGAGTTAAGTTCATTGCTATAACTCATATATTTAATTAGGTTTTTGATCCTTAAGATTAATTGTTTTTGTCTTTTTCAAAATTCTAAATGTTAGCACAGGGAACACAAAATATGTATTTTAAATAAACTAATATATAATATACATATATGTTACTTCACTCTCTATACTAATAAATGATAGTTTTACTTCTTAGTTTGATTTTGTAGAGTGCCTTCTATGAAAGTTTAAATAATTATTTTGATTAGAATTGCACGTTCTTTCAAAATAAGCTTTCAAAATAACTACCCCCCATGAGCTTTCAAAATAACTACCGTATTGGGCCAATTCCAAATAGCAAAGTTTTTCTGCTTTTGATTAGTTTCTGATTTCTTCAACATGAACTAGACTTCCCTGCCTCATTCATGGCAGAAAATTCAATCATGGGCAGTTGTACATTATTAATAAGTGACCTGACTATGCACAAAGTGTTGCAGCATCATCACTTTGGCCACAGTCACTAATCCTTATGAGAGGCTTGCAGAGCACTTCCATTTCGGATCATTTGCTGAATCTTGTAACATTATAGTATTTGGCTTGAGTTTTAAGTTGAACCAGAATAAAGTAAACACCAAACCTCCTTTTCACTCACATCAAATGGGTTCTGTTGAAAACACGTTTGCTTCTTTCATTTCATTTTAGATTCTGGAAAAGAGAGCTAGAGGTACTTATTTTGTGTATTTTATAAGATGTTAATTTACTTGTTTTAAACATTTAATATATTTGAATTACAGATCTAAAATTTTATTTGAATACCTTGCAGAGGATCTCAAAATTTAATATGAATCATGTGAAGGGACCCAGAGAGGATAAAGATGAAGATCTCTAAATACAGATACTCAGGTTTCTCCCTTAGATTCTAATTTAGTACATCAGTTAGACTAGGAATTTACCTTTTTGTCCAGGTGATTCTGTTTTACACTTTCCAAGGATCATGTTTTTGAGCGACACTAGAGAGGAGAATGGTGCTAACAAGTCAAAGTCATAGGTTTGATTATTTTGTGAGTATGTTAGTTCACCCATGCACACACACACACACACATGATTTTTATAGGTCCCAATTTGTTTTCTTTAAATTTCTAAGAACTGCCATGAAAATAGAGATCATGTTAACCAAGGAAAATGTGTCAAGGTGTGTGGGTAAAGCAACTTCAACTGGGGAAATCAGTCATTTATTCACTTACCACTTAAATAAATATTTCCTGAGTACATGTTACATGCCAGGCAACAAGCTAGGAGCTGGAAAAGATAATTCAAAATGTGTTTATGATTATCCTTGGGTCAATGGTCATCATTCATATAAGAAAGTATCATGTTTGTGTATTTGTTCACACAGTTCAAATGTTATGCTTGATGTAGAAACAAAATGGCTACTTGGTATGGAAGTTCAAGAGGTTGCTCTGTGAAGGTTTATTCTTTTTTGGAACATTATATAACTTATACCATGCTTTGTATGCTCAATAATATGAAAACAATTAGCAAACAGATTGTCCTCTCATAATTCAAAATATAAGGTTAGGATTATTTAAAGAGTAACCATTCATATGTGTTTTGAGTTTATCATGGGATAAGAATTTCAATATGACATTAATAGAGTTGGTTAATTACAAAATCATGTAAATAGAGGTTCTTTAAATGGTGTATTTCCCTTATGCAAATTTTAAAAGACTGTCAAATTTCTAAAGCTTATTTTCTGACTATTCTTTTTAAATGTATAATTCTGAGAAATATAACTTCAGTAAAACAAAGTTTTCAGTACCTGTTTCTTAAAGGTACATAGGTGCTATTTGCTTTAAGAAGGTCAAGAATAAAAAGATTCAGATATGTAAAACTGATAAACTAGAAGGTTATCCTTTGCTTTAATGAAATTATTTCTCCATATATGCCATAGTATTTATTTAAATAGTTAGCTTTCTTTCTGCATTAAAACAGGATTTGATTTAAATGCAACTTTTCTGGAACACTTTTATTATATAAATTGTAGCAGACTTTTGTGATATTATTGTGGAAATTTCTTTTTATTCCTTCGAAGGCTGCAGATGCATAGGGAAGGGTTTAAAAACAAATAGACGTGCACAGTAGCATGTTTAGGTCATTTGCTAATGATGCCTACAGTGACAGTTTCATTTCCCACAGCATATTTTAGGTGGCTATATGCTATTTAAATTTTTTTTTCTTTATTTTCATGTTGAATTTGTGCGGAGGGCTAATTGAAGTGAAAAAGTAAGACAGGAGAGTTGGTTATAAGAAGGTGAGAATTGTAGTACAGGTGATAATGGAAAAAGGAGAAGAGGAGTAGGAGAGAGTGAGCAACATAATGGGATAGAGTCTCTAGGGATAAGAAGAGAAAATCTGCCTTAAGAAGGTCAAAGGCAGACATTACTTATAGGGATTCTTCAAAACGGACGCAAGAAGGAAGCCGGAACTAATTATCTGTATTTGGAAGGCAGTTCACCATTCACCTGGCAAATCATTCACAAATACATGCCTTTATGCAGCTTTTTAGACGTGAGCATTGGCTACTTAGAAGAAACCACTAACCTGTTTCCTGGTCAATATGCAAATAACACCTCTCCACCTGATTATTGTAGACAGCTCTAGAGTCCCTGGTTGGAGACTTTTCACACATTAGGGGTAATCTCTTAACCCATTGGCATTTGAATATGATAGCAAGAGGGATTTATTCCTTGAAAATACTTCAAAGATTTGCTGCCAGATTACTATTCAGCAATAGTAGCAAAGCAATCTGGATATAAAGCTTGGGGTAAAACTGCCAACTAGGAATTGGCATCAATCTTTGGTGAATACGTTCAAATGCATGGCTTTAGCAAGTGCTTTTAATTCCACTTTGCAAAGTTTAATTGTAGTGCCTTGTTGCAGGTGTCATTTAGATTACATAGCTTGTTAGAAAAACTTTCCTCTGGTGTGGAAAATGGCAGCTCTTTACACACAGACGAAGCAATTTCACATTCAGGCTGGAAAACAGGCTTTTTGTGGTCCTAGCTCTTAGTTTATTTATCCTTCTACTGTTAATGCTGAGATTTTGCAGGGGAGGGTGAGTTTAGAAAAAAACAGTGGAACATGGCAATATGGTGGAGAGTTGGTGAAATAAATAGAAGCGGGGATTTTGACTGAGTAAAGATAATACAACAGAAGTAATCTCTAAGCCAGCAACTCTGTAATAATCATAAAAGGGGCTCCCAGAGAGCTTTTATCTATTGAGAGCTGACTGTGCAGCATACGTT